CGAGTGAAGTCTTAATAGTCTCGACTTCAGCATCTTTTCATTTGAGACCTCCGAACCATGAGGGCCAAGTGGAGGGAAAAGCAAATAGGCGGCTGAAGTGTAAAAGGAAGATGAGGCAAAGACCCAAGTTCTAAAACTTCTATCACCATGATCGCCATGAACACCTCTGAGAGGCCCACCTTCCTACTTCAAAAGCAGCCCCTTTTTGATCTATTGCTCCAGACCTGTGGTATTCTGGACTAATTCTAGCTTAGTTGTTGTTGGATGTTAAAGTACACAATTTAAGTCATCTCTTCTGCTGTCTTAGCTAAAGGGTCAAATAAAAAAAGTATTTCTTGAAAGGCTACAATGCAATCTGAATGTGTCATCAAATCACCTGTGACTCATAGAAACCCTATGTATAAGAGCTCTGAATCCTACTTTATTCTGAGCCAACTTTATTGGTGGTCTCCAACATACCTACCCCCATTTTCCTCATTACTGAGTCAATCCATCTCATTGAGCATATTCCTCTCTTGTACTCTCTCCACCCTCCCAAGCCTAATGTCCTTCTCCAAGGACTGGTCCCTCCTTGCAATATGCCCAAAGTATGTCAAACAAAGCTTCAGAATCCTTGCCTCCAAGAAGCAGCCTGGTTTCACCCTTGCCTGTTCTCTTAGCAGTCCATGGTATATTCTTTTCCAGCACCATAGCTCAAAGGAAATTCTCCTATCATCCCTAGTCATTGTCCAGATTTCTGATGCATAGCAAGTAATTGCAAAGACCATAGCCCATATAGGGTGCACCTTAGTCTCCAGATGGACATAATTGCTCTTTAGTACTCTGGAGATACCCCTGACTGCAGACTTTCCCAATGCAATTCATCTTTTTATTTCCTGGCTGCTGGTACCAAGAATGTTGATTGTGGAGCCAAGCAAACTAAAGCTGTTAACAATTTCAATCTCTTTACTGTCTATCATGATGCTGCCAATAGGCCCAGTGGTGAGAATTTTTGTTTTCTTGATGTTGAGCTTTAATCAATATTGAAGGCTGCAGTCCTTGACCTTCTGCAGCAAGTGCTTCAGGTCCTCCTCAGTTTCGTCAAGCAGGGTTGTGTCGTCTGCATAACGCAGGTGGTTGAGTCTTCCTCCTATCATGATGCCATATTTCTCCTTATAGAACCTAGCCTCACTGATGATCTGCTTCGCATATAGACTGAGAAGACAGGTGATAGGACACAGCCCTGGCTTACACTATATATAAAGGTAGTGTGGACAGATAAGTTTAAGTTTCCTTAAAAGAAAAATGCGATACATGTTCAAATTATGCGTACATCTTTGAATGGGTTATTGATAGAACACAAAGGTATTACTTCTTGAAATGGAAAAACAAACAAACAAACCCCTAAAATTGAATGGTATCGGATGTATCTTTATGAATGCATCTATTAAGAAAGGAAACTTTCCTATACAAGAATGAGTAACTTAGTAAACTTAGTAAAAGTTATCTGTGTTTATGAATGGGATTTTAGCAGCCCCATTTAACATGGAGTACTGTCCCCATATTTTAATAGTACTCTTCCTACTTCCTCTGATTCTCATTTCCATTTGTCCTTCTTCCTGTCTGCTGTCCTGTGTCCTCATGGCTGACTGTTTTGAGGCTTCCATTCCTTTCTGATATTACTGATGAGCTTATAGGCCTCTCTACAGTTTGCCTGAAAATTGGGCGATTTTGAATTTTGGTCTATACTGTTCTCCTGCTCTATCAGGAAACTTCTAATTGTAATCCCTTTCAGTGAGGTCAGGCATCATTTTGGGATCTACTCCTCTGGGACTCGGGGTGTATTTACAAATGGAACACTGAGTGTGCATGGTTCATTAGATCTTTGAACTAATTATCTTAGTTTTTATTTACTCTTTTTGACTCCAGATGGAAAAGACTGGAAGTTGATCTTAGATGGCTGCTCATAAGCTTTAAAGACTTTAGTCTACAATCACCTACTCATTGTCTTTGTGCACTGTTACACCAATTGACCTGACCTTCTGTGAGACTATATCCCTGAACTCCCAGGCCAGACAACTCATCTTCTTAAGGTGTTTGGCCATGACTAAGAAGTTTTTGCGTACGACATTTTTGGTGGCTTATAAATGAGTTCTGAACTTCTCTGTCACCATGTCTAGTTGGGAAGATGGGGTACAGCTGTGAGGGAAGGGGGTACCCCTTCATTACTGTCCACACAGACGGAGTTTTCACACCCATTGGGTTCCCCAGGATTTCCAGCTCGATCATGCCTCTATAAGCCTGTTATTCTCATTTTTCTTATTTACTCTGATTACTGCCCATCTTACCAATTAGAATGTTAAGCTTCACAACAGTATATGTTTTTATGTGCTGTTTCCCCAGGACCCAAAACAGTGCCTGGTGCATACGTGGCATTTAATCACTACCCTATGAACAAATGGATCTCTTTGATTCTTATGGTGACTCTGTCAACAAATGGATTCACTCATTTCATTCTTCCAAGCCCTGTGCTGCAAGTGGAAGACAGAGAGATAGCATGAAATCAAGGCCACTTCCCTCATGGAGTTTTTGAGTCCTGAAGCAATCAAACTCTGTATGCAATAATGGCAAACTGGTAAAGTTATGAATGGAAAAGTACAAAATACTCCACACCAGGTGCACTGTGATCGTTTTGGTTTCTTTTCACAGTCGAATCCTGACGTTAATCTCTCTAGAGAGTGAATCAAACTTTAGGAGAGACCTATTCTGAGATCTCCGATTCAAAGCCAGATCTGCTTTGCCCCTCTTTACATTAAATCCCTCAAGCGGAAGTTAACAGTTATCCTTTTGAGTCTCAGCCCAAAAGGTAACTAGAATTTTAGGGGCAAGAGGGCTGGTAGTGTCCTCTGTTGGGGTCTTTATTGTACCTGTTTACATAAAGCCCGAATATCTGACCCCTTCCCTTGATAAAGAGTGTAAGACTCAGGGTGAAGTCTCTGAGCACTAGACCGTAGGACTGACACCTACCCCACAGGTCTAGCCTCCCATTTGGGGGAAAAAACCGGTAAGAGGCAGTCAGTGCAACTGACTTGTACTTGCAAGGGAAAGTGCATAATGGTGGGAGGAGTGGAAACTTCAACAGTTAAAGTCCAGTTCCAATGCTGGGCTATATTCTCTTCTAGCCTTTCTGCCTAGGGGTTCAGCTGACCGGGGGAGGAGCTGCATGGGTTAAAATAAAACACTGCCAGAGACCAGCAAGACCTTGATTCTCCCACAGAAGCTGCCTCCTAATAAAGATGAGGTTATGCCAACAGGAAAGGTCAACAAATGCGAAAAGTAACAGTAAAAACATCTTGAACATTTTACTGCTTATGTAATGATAAGGTTCTCAAGAGAAGCTATGACAATGTACAGGCCAGGAGGATACTCAACCTTACCTCTTGCCTGAGGAGTCTTGAGTAGTTCATCCCATAACCCAGCACTTTCCTACTCGTCAGCATAAAAATCTGAATGAATAAAAACGATCATATCAGATAGAAAGATAGAATTACTAAAAAGCATTCATTACTAAAGGTCGGCATAGCAGCAAAATAAAACTCATTGCTGTGGAGTCAGTTCTGTCTCATAGGGACCTGTAAGATAACAGAATCACCTCATAGTTTCTAAGACTGTAAATCTTACGGGATCAGACTGTCACATCTTTCTCCCATAGAAGGTAGGTTTGAACTGTTATGTGCTGAGTTGCTTGCGACTTATAGCGACCCTATGTACAACAGCCCTATACCCTGCTCTATCTCTTGCCAACCTTATTGTCTCTGACACATCTATCCCTATTACCCCAGTGACTGAATCAATCCATCTCATTTGAGGGTATTCCTCTCCTGAGCTGTCCCGCCACCCTTCCAAGCATTATGCCCCTCTCCAAGGACTGATCCTGCCTTGAAACATGTCCAAAGTATGTCAGACGAAGCTTCAGAATCCTTGCCTCCAAGGAACAGCCCGGCTTCAACCTCTCCAGCACGAACTTCTTTGTTCTCCCAGCAGTCCATGGTATATTCAATACTCTTCTCCAGCACCAAAGCTCAAAGGCATCAACTTGTCTTCTATCATCCCTAGTCATTGTCCAGCTCTCTGAAGCATAGCAAGAATGGCAAGGACCATGGCCTGTATCAGGCGCACCTTAGTCTCCAGACTGACATCGTTGCTCCTCCTAAGAGAGGTCTCCGACAGTACACTTTCCCAATGCAATTCGTCTTTTAATTTCCTGGCTGCTGGCATCAAGGGTGTTGATGGCAGAGCCAAGCAAAGTGAAGCTGTCAGCAATCTCAATGTCTTCACCACGTATCATGATGGTGCCAATTGGCCCAGTGGTGAGAATCCTTGTTTTCTTTTTGTTGAGCTTCAATCATATTGAAGGCTTCAATCCTTGACCTTCTGCAGCAAGCGCTTCAGGTCCTAACCACGGAGCCACCAGAGACAAGCCGGGATTAAAAACCTGACTGCTCTGGCTAAAGAATGATGTCAAAGAATACGGGTATTCTTGGCAAGCTGTTCAAAATTCCAGACAGGAAAAGCTTTCCAAGAAGACAGAAAAGCACGTGAGCAAAGCAGAAAGTGGCCAGTACGAGGAACGCGCATCAGAGTCCAAGTTCCCAGTCTCTGCGGCCCAGGCATTATCGCGCAGAGCCTCCTCGCAAACAAGCAAGATTATACAAACCCAGCCCAAAGCCCAACTACGCATGCGGCTACCTTCAACCCCACAATGCACAGCGCTCGGGGGGCGGTGGGGGGGGGGCGCTGTCTCCGCCTGACTTCCGATCCCTGTCTTCCGGTGAGCTCTGAGTGCCCCTCCGGCAAGCCGGGATTTGGAGGAGATAAAGCAACTCAGAGGACGGGAGCATCACCTTTACGGTCAGTACTGAGAGAGCAGACTACTGCCGTGAAGTGCTGGGATTGACGAGAATGAGGATGCTTGCTTGCTCCGGCTGGAAAAGACGAGGCATGCCGCACTGGGCGCCGCCATGACAGCCTGGTTACCGGAAAAGGCGTGTCCGTCCTTTCTGATTGATCCTTCGCGGTCACCTGCCTCGAGATGTGAGTATCCCGAGCGCCCCCTCCGTACCTTGTCTTCCCCAGGTCCTGGCCATTGTTCTACGCGCTCAGAAACACTACCCTCCCAGTCTCCTTTCAGCGTAAGACTGTTTTTGTTGAACTGCAGGAGCTGGGTGTTGGTGGATCATCAGTATAATATCTACCTATATAGAGAAGGGGTGCTGCGGACTGCTTCAGAGCCATATAATGCTGATAATTTCCAAGACAAAACCTGCCATTTGACCAATCACTGCATTCAAAAGGAATACTCAAAGAACTACGGAAAATATGAAGAAGGAAATGAGATGTTCTTTGAGGAGTTCAATCAGTACCTAATAAGTGCTTTGAATATAACACTGGAAAGCAGCATCTTACAACAAATCAAAAACATAATAAGGTAACTTGGTTCTGTCTTTTTTAGATTATCTGTTTCTTTTTGAAGGAGCTTTAGGAATTTGTGCCTTTCAAGGAGGTGGTCCATTTAAGGTGACAATTTACAAGCAAACGTTACACTAATCCTTTTGAATCCCTTTCATGTCTGAGGAGCTGTGAGGACATGACTTCTTCTGTTCCTGTCATCAGTAGCTTGTCTTCCCACCACTTTACCAGGACACACTGGTTACAGGTTATCAGATTTAAATATTAGCTTTTGATGTTATTAACTTTCACTATTGTTTTTGCTTTTAATTTTTACTATTCATGCTCTATTACTTTGTTCTTCATCAGAGTTTAAGTTTTTTCTCCTTTTTTCAAATTGTGTTTTATTTTAAGATGAGAGATTTTTGATTGGAGAGGTTTCTCTTTTTTTGGTATTTTTAAAATACATGCTATTTCTATTTCCCTTGAAGCACTGCATTAGCTCTATTTTACTAATATTGATGGTTGACATTTTATTGGATTATTTTCTGATTTTCCTCATGAGTTTGTCTCATGTGGTGTTTCAAAATTGGAGATGTTCCAGATCAGTTTTTTATTGATCTCTGCTTTAATTCCATTTATAGCAGGAGAGTAAACTTGGTCTGATTTCATTTAACATTTGTTACTGCTTATGGCCCAGCATCTGAGGTCTGTTTATAGAATGTTCCATATACTCTGAAGAGAATAAATATTCTCTTCCTGTTGGGTGAAGTGTTCTGTAAATGAAGTGACCAAGTTGAATTTCAGATCCATTTCTCTGTGTTACCAGCATTTGCTTTGTAGATTACTTGGTGTGTTTTATTATGTATATACATACATGATAAGTAGTATTTCTCTTGTTTATCATATATGTATTTCGGATTGTTGTATCTTCTTGGAAAGTTGACACCTCATCATTAAGTAATTAGTTTCTCTATTTTGCTAAAATAAAATTTCTTCTTTTTAAGTCTACTTTGTCTGGTATTAGTACATCACTGCCATTTTCTTTTGATTAGTAATTGCATGTCTTTTCCATCCTCTCACTTTTATAGTGTTCTAATTGCTATATTTAGATTATAAATATAGCAATATAAATATATTTAGACTACAAATATAGCAAATAGAAA